TAAGTGGGAATTTTTGTCCTAATTTTGGGGTTGGTTATGTTGATTTCAGCTGATCAGTGATTTTTTTCTTTTTATATGTATTTGGTGTTAGATTTTTTAATTGTTCATGATTATTTTCTCAAGAAGCTATCTGTGTATGTTACTTGCATTGTTTTCCTTTCCTGAGGATGAAATCTGATGTTTACCCCAATTTCATGACTGTCATGTGTAAGCAGTCCCATAATTTCCTGTCTGCTGTGACCTTGTTCTTGATCAAAGCTCTTCTGTCTTCTCCCTCTATAGCATGGGGATCATTGTGCTTGAGTTGTACTGGAAGCATGCTCCAAAGACCTGCAAGAATTTTGCTGAGTTGGCACGTCGAGGGTACTACAATGGCACGAAATTTCATAGAATCATCAAAGACTTCATGATCCAGGGAGGTGACCCAACAGGGACAGGTACAGTTAAGCCCCATTTTTTCTGCAGTTTCACTCTGTCATAACAGAGTATAAGGCAGCCAGAGGCCTCCTCTGCATATTGGGGACTTGGGTTAATGGATTCTGGTGACTGTTCCTGGCAGAAAAAGCACTTACCCTCTGCCAAACATACACATGTGAAATTGACTATCATTAGAAACTACCATAATCTTCTGGGCCTTAACGTGTTTCTCATAACTTTTATGTATTGCTTACTAAGAACAAATTTTTGCCTGAACTATACTAGAGTAGTCCAGTTATCAGAAGTAAAGAAAGAAATCATCTGCAATGTTTTGAGAAAAAGAAAATTCTTTAATACATTTAAGAAACATTAAGCACATTTGTTTTTATTCCCTCCACCAAGTCACTGTGTCCATATCCTATTTGCCAACTTTCCCCAGCCCTCCACTCTTTTCCTATTCCCTCTGGTAACCATTAATCTTCTTTTGGCCAAGTTCAAATTTTTATTTCTTCTATTGTTTGCATGTAATTGGGTTTTTTTTGTTTTTTTTTTTATTCTGCAGATGAGACCATCTAAAAACTGTCTTTTACTTGTTGGCTTATCTGGGTTAGCATAATCACCTCAAGGGTCATCTCCGGTTTGTCCCAGATGCCACTACGGCATCCCTCTTCGAGCTGTGTGATATTCCGCTGAGTATCTGCTCCACGGTTTCTCTGCCCATTCATCTGTTGAAGTGCCCTTGGATTGGTCCCATGATTTGGCAAACGTAAACAGTGTTGCCATGTAGGTGTACATAGGTCTTTTTATAGTAAGTTTTCCATGATATTTGGATAGACACCTAATCGTGGTATTGCTGGGTCAAACAAAATTTCTTTTTTTAATTTTCTTGAGAAATCTACCCTTTTCCACAGGGTCTGTAGGAGTTTGCATTCCCACCAATAGTGGATGAGAATTTCTTTTTCACCGCAACGTAGCCAATTAATTCCATTCTTTTTCATATGCACCATTCTCTCACAGGGGTTGGTGGTATCTCAGTGTGGGTTTTATAATAAGTGAATAATAAGTGATATTCAACTTTTTTTCATGTGTAAGACCATCTGAATATCTTTAGCAAAGTGTCTTGAGGTCCTTTCCCTAATTTTTAATAGTTTTGTTGTTGGGCTTTGTAAGTACTTTGTAAATTTTGGAGATGTATGCAAGTAATTTTTCCCTTTCTTTAGGTTGCCTTTTTGTTTCTGTGATGATTTCTTTTTAGAAATCTTTTAAGTTTGATATCCCACATGTTTATTTTTTGTTTCTTTTGCTGCTGGGGTTGTATTCCCAAATATAGCTTTGCGGTAGGTGATCTGTAGTGTGTGATCTATACTTTCTTTTAAGTACTTTTGTTGCAATTCTTCTATCAAAATATTTAATCCATTTTGAATTAATTGCTGTGTATGGAGCTAAATATGTGTCTTGCTTTATTTTTTTGCATGTGGCCATCCATGTCTCCTAGAAAACACTTTTTTTTTGGTCAGTTACTTTTTTAAGCTTTAGGCGTATAGCAGTGAACAAATAAAAGACTTCCTGCTTTCATTTAAGGAAAAAGAAAAATTTGATTTTGGAAAGGCCAGGAAGTCCTCGCTGAGGTGTTATTGGAGCAGAGAGCTGAATGAAGTGAGGAGATAACACCTGTGACTGGTAGACTTGCATTTTGGGAGGAGGAAGAGGGAGCCCAGAGGCCTTGAGGCAGGAGCATGCAGAAGAGATCTTGTGGGACATTACAGAGCGAGGTAGAGACTTTGGGTTTTATTCTGAATGAGATGGGAGCCGTCAAGGTTTGAGCAAAGGGGTGACATAAACTAACCTATACTTTAAAAAAGCTCACTCTGGCTGCTGTTTGGAGAATAAGTGTAGGAGTCAGAGTGTGAGCTAGGAACCAGTTAGAAGACTGTTGCCACCCAGTCTTGACATAACTTTTAGAGTAGGCTGATAGTGCAGAAGGTGGTACAACGTGAATGAATTCACTTTTGTTTTGATTTCACTTATATTGTGTTTTGATGAAAATAGAGCCATTGAGGGCCTCCCTAGAGGTGCAGGGGTTAACGTCTGAGCGCTGTCAGACAATTGGCTGCCACTGCAGCATGAGTTTGATCCTCGGCCAGGAAGCCGACCCACATGGTACAACAGGCCTCTTCTGTCTCGCCTGCTGCTCCCCTCAGCAGTGTAACTTCAGTCGCTCTGCCTGTTCTGCTGCCCACTCTGTCTCTGGTGAATCCACACACACACACCCCTCTGGTTTACACCACAGATTTTGTGTGCATAAATAAATAAAATGAATCTTTTTACAAAAGAAAGTAGTACTATTGAGATTTCCTGAGGTTGAATTGAGGGGTTGGGGTATGAGAGGATAGTCAAGGTTTTTGACTTGAATTTAGTGAAATGGGGAAGGCTGTGAAACAGGTTTGGAGGGGGTAGATCAAGAATTTACTTTTGATTTTGGACATGTTACATATAAATACTTGTCAGATCTTCAAGTGGAGAAATTAAATAAGTAGTTGGGCTTAAGAATGGCACCAAGGAAAGGTTTGGGGTGGAGGTATGAATTTGGGAGTTGTCCTTGGTATCTCAGGCTGCATTTTCTTTAACTCCTACTCCCACTCTTTTGCCTTTAAATAAAGCTTGGTTTTCTCTCTGGTGGTCTTTTCTCAGTTTCATTCTTCTTTGCCATTCTCAGTTGTTCTTTATTTATCCTTTATGACCAGAGGCATTCCTTTTCAGTGTCTGTCAACCTATTTCAGAATACAGAATGTGTAAGTAGAAAAAGGGACAATCTCAGCCACTTATAAGCATACTTCCTAAAGATTCCTAACCACCATTAACTATTTTCCCCACTAAATGGGGAAATGGGTCCCCCCTTTTTTTTTTCCAGAAAGAATGTCCATTACTTTAGATATCTTTCTTCAGATATCTAGTTTAAAAGATGGATAGCTAGCTAAATGGAAATAATTCAGAAGAATTGGTTATTTCATGTGTGCTGTATTTTTAAAACAGAAAGTTTTATATTTAATTTCAACTTTTTTTTTTTTTTTAACATTTATTTATGGCCCTCCCTGGTGGCACAACAGGTTAGGACGCAGCAAGCTGGCCACAACCACTTAAGTGCAAGTTCAATCCCCAGCCCTGGAGGTGACCACATGGTGCAGCAGACCTCTCCTGACCCACCCGCTGCTCCCCTCAGCAGTGTACTTCGTCGCTCTGCCTGTTCTGCTCCCCACTCTGCCTCTGGTGAAGCCTCTCACCGCCCCTGCAGGAATCCTTCAGCTACAGGATAGGTTCAGCATGTTGGTGAGTTCAGGGCTCACCTCCAGGCTTTTCTGTTCACAAGTGCCAGAGTTTTTAATCTCAAGAACTGGAGAGTTACATGTTTTTTTTGTTTTGGTTTTTTGGGCTCAGTCATGTTTGAGAATTTCTGCCTATTGTCTTTATTTTTGAAAAATACCATGACTAGATATAATATTCTAGTGCACTCATTTACAGCTCCACTCCTTCCATTGCCTTCTGGGTTATTTTGTTTGTTTTTGATATATTTTTTATTGAACTATTTTTATTTTATATCCCGTTCATTTTTTTTTTCACAATAAGAATTTCTCCCCTCAGTTTTGTTCCCACCCTTGTTCACCCATCACCAGTTCACCCATAATCCTCTACCATACTCCATTCTTGTGCTCACCCCACCTTTTCCTTCCCTCCCCTGCCTTCTGGTTCTGAACATAATTTTGGAAAATACTGAAGCCAGGGAAAAATTTTTTATTTGTATTTCTGAGTATTTTTTCTGTTATTCTTCCTGGATTTTCTATTTCAGGAAACTAGCTATTCTTTGTTTTATCACCTTTGCCTTCCATATCTAGCACATTTATTTTGAGTGTGTGAATTGTTTTTCCATATTTTCCTGCATAGCCTGGAATAATCACAGACCTGTATTCTGTGCCTTATTTAATTTTTAGTCATGTCTCTTCTATTTTTCACACCTTAATTTATTTATTAGCACTGTGTAGGTATCATGTGACTCAGTCCTTTTCCTTATTTCAGAAATCTTTTCACTTTGTTCTGTTGATTTATTATCTTATCTTTGAGCTCTTATTTATTGGATTCTTATTTCTGTTTGAATCATCTGTAGCTTGCGACAGCCATGGTGAAGCCCTTTGTTGACTTATGTTTTCTCCCACATTGAGTTGTTCCCAAGGTGGTTTTTTCCTCAACCCTTCCTTTCTTTCTCTCCTGTTTGTTATGGTATGTTTACATCATCGCCATGCCATTTCTTTTCATTTTATCCATGCTTAATTTCATCATTCGGATCTATATTGTCCTTACCTCTTGTTTACTCGGATGCAGTGTAAGTGGACTCTCTGTCACTCTCTGCCCCTGCGTGGGGTTAGTGGCCTTTCACACTCATACGCTATGATGCCTTCTCTCCATTTTATTCTGCCTAATTAGGGGAGAGGAGAGGACACAGGCTCCGCTTGTGCTGAGTGAGCCGCCGTGGGGGGGCTAGTCTGTGTTCTGGCCTCTCAGACTTCATTAAAGCCCTGTGCCCGCCACCCACCGGTGGTGTTTCTCCATCCCCATCCTGGGCTGGAGGTAGCTCAGGAATGTGGCTGGAGAGGAAGAAAAAGATGCTCATAGGCTGTTTTTCATTCGCAATTGGGTCTCTTAACAGCAGACAGATTCAGGAGGAAAGTGTACAAATTTATTTAATGTAAGTTTTACATGACGCAAGAATCCAAACCTGACTGTTTTTATGGTAAGTTTGATGAAGAGTGGAAAGTTGTGGGAAAAGATGGTTCGACAAAAGGGAGATGAGCTGAGTGTAGTAAACTGGGGAAACTCAGCAAGTTTGATTCCAGTTCTTCTCAGTGTCCCTGTCTTGGAGATGAGGCTGTTTCTTGCCTCCAGGTTCAGTGAGTGAGTGCCTCTCTCACATGAGGGCCTTATGGTCTGCTTCAGGGAAGGTCACTTCGTCCTTTTCCACTAGCCAATT